AATCTGTCCCTTGCATGGAGTTGATTTTTTTTTTCTTGTTATAAATAGCTTTGTTTTCACATATTCAAGTTTAATAATGGGTTATGATTTTTCAAACAGGTATCAGCTATGGGGAAAAAATCAGAGACTAATGGTAAGTAATTCTGATAAGACACCTCCATGTTAAATAGAAACACTGCTGTGTTTTCACACAGGCGTGTCCATGTTTCAAAATCCTACAGCTTTTAATATTAATGCACACCCCCCCCCCCCCTTCTGTCTTTAGCCTTTCAACAGCTCCACTGCAATATCATAAAAACATGGATGTTTGAGAAATAAACCTAAATCACCTTTCTAGGGAGATTAAGGGTTAGCAGTATTCCAGCCATGATTGCAAAGCCTTGTTCGAGTTACATGCATAGTATGTTTGCTGTAGCTGGAGAGTATTGCTAAACTGTGTGAGGTCTGACAAATGGTCATTTAACTACAGCAAATGCAAGGCATCTGGGAAAGGCTCTTTTAAGGCTGCAGCAACAATTGATATGCCTTTCATGAGCAGAGAGAACCCAGAAAATGAGGCTATTGCAGCAACATTATTTGAGCAGAAATGGAAGATTTCAGCACTACTACTGAGAATGAGCCCTGCACCTGATTTTGAACACTGCCACTGGGTAATGGTAAAGCCTGATGAAAACTCAGCAGTGTTGATTTTGAAAAACAGTTCTGGCTGGTTGTGAGCCCCATGTGCTCCTGCACACCCAGACTGGACTGGAGTTCAAATGCACTCAGCAGCAGCACTGTTTTTACTGAAGCTGTGCATTAGTGTCTTCACAAGGCACACTACTGTCATTTTGAAACTACTAGTTTAAGAAAGAAAACCTAGTTGTAAAGAAAGAAATTGGCAAAATTGCTCTCCTAGCTTGCTTAAATTTTAATCTAAAACACTCCAAATAAAACTAAAGGAATTATGTGTTTGGAAGTGTTCAAAAACAGCGTAAACAAGGCCCTTAGTAACATGGTTTAGGGGTGAGCTTGGCAGTGCTGGGATAACAGTTGGACTTGATCTTAAAGGTCTTTTCCAGCCTAGTTGATTCTATGATTCTAAGGAGCAGTGGGGAAGAATGGAAATTTACTGATTAATTTAACAGCATTATAGATGCTTTGCAACATCCCTTGACTCTTCACTAGGAATGAAATGATAAAATATAGAAAAACATTTGGTTTGCTATACATTAATATGTGAAGAAAAGTGAGTGCACATCCATATGTGAAGCCAGAGGTATGGTATACCTGTGAACTTACCAATTTGGAATCACGCAGACCAGAACAGTTTTCCTTCCCCCCGCCCTTCTCCTTTTTTGAACTCAGCTGTTAGGAGAGGGGGTTTTGGGCTCACTCAGTGTTAGCACAGCTCTATTCCTGTGGAAGATGCCAGTAGTCGTGTGTCATCGCAGACCCAGCTGAGTGATTCAGGCACTCAAAGCCTGAGCGAGATGAGGGCTTTGCAGTAAGAGGCTCTCAGGAGACTTGTCGTGGGTTCAGAGCGTGTGCGCCAAGCACTGCAGCACAGCTCACCTTAGCACAGGAGCTGCCTGCATGCAGCTGGGTTGAGCACTAGGTGCAGCAACCACCACATTTCTGAATGGGAAGCTCCTGAGCTCTTCCCGAGCTGCTTTCAGGGGCTGTTGGAGGTGAAAGAGATGAAATCCTGCATGTCCTCTTGGAGACCAGCGCTGAGCAAACCCAGTCCATGACCCACAGCATCATCCAGCTTGTGTCTTGCTTTCTTACATGGTGTTAATCTACAGCCATGCCATCTCTGTTTTAGGGATGTGTTTGGGTTATTTCAAGTGGTCTTTAATCTTTCTCTTTCTCAGCAGGTTTGAGACAATTTGAGAAAGAACCGTAGAAGGCCACTAAAGACGCTGGACCAATCAGCTGGGGGAAAAAAAAAAAAAGGAAAAAGTGCTAAATTGTTCTTTTTATATTTATGTTTATTTACCAAAATCTCTTTTTGCATTATCCCAGTTAAAACCATGTATATTAGCACTGTATTTAATAATCAGTCTAGACATTCATCATAATAGTACTGCCTTTGCACAAGAGCCTTTATTCCTAAAGATCTTTATTCCTAAAGAAACCCATGCTGTGAAATATATAGACTCTTCTACTGATAGTCATAACTATGTATCTGAACAGTGATTTCAACTGGCAAAAGAAGTCAGCCCAAAATGTGTGTAAAGTGAAGTTGCTTAAGAAAGGTGTGCAGTAAACCTATAAAAACAACGGTTACTTTTGTAATACAGAAGTCTTTTCCTTCTGCACTTTAGACTAAGGCATGGAAGAAATATCTTTAGTTGACAATGTAATATTTTCTGTAAGCTGCCCATGTCATGAGAAATACTGCATCAATAACGTGTTTTAATTTTTTTGTTTTATACTTTTTTTAAGCATCAATTTTTCCATTCTAGTTTAAGTTAATACTTAAATTTGGATGATTATGTTAGCTGACAGCGGTACTGATATTTCTTTTTGTTGTTAGTGACTAGTAATTGAATGCAATTTAGAATATATATACACACATAGCTTTACAAAGTTTAGCCTAAAGGCACTACTAATGGTAGAATGCTTTAATACGTGCTAGAGTATTATATTTAGTAATAAACGTACATAATTAGCCAATATCACAGCTTAAAAAAAAATAAAGACAGAATCACACACTTTTCTATAGTAAGATTTCAGAATTGCCATTAGAGGTATGGTGAGATAAGTATTAAAAAATTTTAAATGTCAGTTGCCCAGTAATGGGTAAGTAAAAAGAAAGTATAGTTTTTAAAAGAGGAAAAGGTAAGGGTATAGAGGGTCAAAAATAGGTCACTTGTATAAAACGTTGTAGTTTAATTTATATAAAGCTACCATAATGAAAAAGAAAAAAAACCTAACCACAGTTGGAGCTTGTTTCAGACTGTACACTAGATCTTGCCATCCATTAGTGCCGTACACTAAGTCCACTGAAAATGAAGTAAACCTCTATCTTTGTAGTGCTTCTTTTTAACTCTCTCTCCCAAATATCTTATTTACAGATGTTTTCATTTGTATATAGTAAACACACAGCTATAAGACATCAGCTTGTTTTGAATCTACATGCCATGCAGTTCAGCATTTACATCCTACAGTGTATGGATGGCATAAACTGAGCAACTGAAGTAGCCCCTGAGCATATTGTTAACAGTTATGTTTTGCACCAGAACTACCAGGATCTCCCTTTTCACCACTTCCATCTCTTACAGCATCTGACTCCTTCCTAAAGAAGAATAATGTTTTATTTCAACCCAGAGATGAGATCCCCTGCTTGTCTGAAACATCCTGTTTACATATAGAGATGCATGTAGTTATCTGTAGGGGGTGAAACTGTGCCTGACGTTGTCTGTGAGTTGTCATGTTTTTTGTTTAGGGGTTTTGTAAACACTCTTCTGAGTCTTTCAAATACATCCGATAGCTGCAATAAAAACGATTTGTTCAAACAATGTATTCTGAAACTGCATCCACAATAAATGGAATATTTCCATCAGCAGCCCCCAGTTTTTTAATGAGCAGGAATGAGCCAGTTGTAACTTGGATAGGAATACTGCAAAGGCTGTGTCATTGAAAAGAAGCTGAAAGGGTGTCTCTCCTGATCCATTATCCTACAGTAGGCAACCAAGTGGTAAAAGTAGAAATTTCAACCTACATATTCTTGGGGGAGGGAATAAAAACTCAGTTGTTGTGCTTATCAGTACACGATGGGAGCTGTGCATCGTCCAGAAGCCAGTGTGCCTGTCGAAGTAGGTTCTGATATAGCAGTACAGCCTTCTGCTTCCTTGTCTCAAAAAATGTTTCCTGTGTGACAACCAGCCTGTTTCTTCTGTCTACCTCAGATGTGCTTCCAGGCTTTGCATGATCACAGGGACCAAGCCTGGGGAACTGCTGGCTCCTATGTGCTTTGCTTTTGCTCTAACAGCAGCACAGCATGTAATGCCCTACTCTAAACCTGGTCATGGTCATCTGAAAGAGGCCCCCTAGGCTGCTGCCAGCTCCACAGGAAGCAAGGCTGCAGCAAGCAGCTGTGAAGAAAGACGCTGCCCAATTTAACCTGAAAAGATCTTGTATGCTTGGAAGTGTGCCTGTTCTGCCTCACGTGAAGGGACACTTTTCCTTGCTGATGTAGAGAAATTTCTTCTGCTCCTGGTTATTGCCTTTTCTGAGAGCATGGAAGCATGCTGTTTTGGGGTTAATACCCTAATACCATGAAGTGGTGTGGTCATGGGTTGTTCCCACCAGCTGGCACCACCTCCTGGCAGAATTCACCAGGGACAAATACCCTAGTGGCAGACTCAGCAAGTTTTTTGATACCACTCTTCAGACAATACCAAATTGTCATCTTAGTTTCTGATCATGGTTTCCTGCAGTTCACTCAGCATCCTAGCCAGGCTTTCTCATGTCAGTATGTGGAGTGCCACACAACAGCCTTTTTCAAACCTGCTGTTGCTTTGGCCTGGCAATACCTACCTGGAAATAATTTAAAACAAATGTGAGTTTACCTCAGGGTTTGGTGTTTTTAAAGAAAATATAAAAGAAAATATTTTCTATGTTTTCCTTAGATAAAGCCGACCCTTGTCTGGACAGGCTGTTCTGAATGCTGCCAGCAGAACTGCAGAAATCTAATGTTATGTTTGAGACTACTAGAGGTACTCTGTTTGATTTTGTAGGTAGTCCTTATATTCAGTGGGGTTGATTTTGATATGTGTTATCATTGTATATGATGCTGTCTTCAACCTTTCACCAGTAATCACTCAAGACTTCAGATTCTAGGTCTTCAGAGAGAGCTGCATGAGGTAACAGGTACAACTTTGTTCTTTAGCATCAGCTAGAGCACAATCCTGTTTGATGCTTAAGCCACAAAGTAGTCTCTGTGTATTGTTCTTGTACAGGAATTATAGAAACTCATTTCTGTCCGTATTGAGATTAAAAAACAACAGACATCAAGCATGTTTTCATAACTAATTTTATGAAACAATTTAAGCACTGCACTGATTGTTGTTATTCAAACTTCATATAAATTTCCAAAACATTAGAGATTCACACTATAAAAATCACAATTATGTAAAAAGCAAAGTAAATAAAGAGAACATTCCTTTACAGCAACTCATGAGCCAGTATGACTGACTGCACTTGAAATAATGTATAAAAAAAAATCACGTAAGTAACCAGAGTTTTCTGTTAAACATGTCTTTAATTAAGGAAAACAAGGAAAAGAGGAAATGAAGAGACATTGTCTTTTTACTCTTAATGGAAACCAGGTTTCTGCTAACAGTCTTTACAAAAGTTCCATCTGTACTGATGCATTCTTACACCAGCTAGTGGCCTTCTCCTAAAAAAGGAGAAGTAACTGCTCATAATAACAGTCAAGTACAAAAGAAGAAATCAAGACCAAGCTACAGAGTACATCTTCTAATCTGGAAGTAGTTACATGGAGGTCTTGCAGAAACCACTGGCACTAATATTCTGCTTTGAATGGGTAATCCTTGTGATTGACAGCTCTGAGAAGAAAAAGAACTGGTTATTTAAGTATTGTAGAAAGTATCTCCAGCAGCATTTCCCTACTGCAGTCTTCTTGCCCCACTGCCAATGTACTAAAGTTTTGCTTCTGTCATTAATTTTAACATAGTCTTGTGACAAGCACATAATACACAAAGATGTTGAAGGGAATGTCCTGAATCAGTCTCCCTTCTGACATCAGTTCCAGGACATTGTTACCTGGGGTGCAAGACTGAAGATGTGAGCTCTCCCTTGTCTTAGTCATGTATGTTTTCAAGACATGGGGGATGAAAATACAGATAGGCTTAGTGGATAACAACAATAAAAAGGAACTTACTGGGGCACTGGAACTGCTCTCCAGTTCCTGTTAAAGCTGAGGATGACGTCCATCTCCTTTTTAGACAGTTCAAAGTCAAACACCTAGCAAGGAAACAAAAGAACAGCCCTTTTTACTTAGGTTCATGAGTAGTTAGCTGCTAATACGCTTCATGTATTCATGACTTGAGGAAAGGAACATATTGCATCCACACTAAGCAGTTAAGAAATCCTCGTATTTCTTATCCAAATACCAATCTACCCTTGGAGTAATCAAGATAGCCCTTTTCTCTCTGAGGTGCTGTTCATAGTAATGTCTTACAGTTCTGAGTGGTTGAATGCAGTTTGTGCTGTAATACACAGAACAAAAACTTAAGATGCCAAGGATGGATTACTCAATGTATTGCAAATACTAGAACTAGCGGTAAATATTTCTGCTACAACAGAGGACTACTGGGTATACTAACTGCAAATGGTAGCCTCAATCAGTTGTCTAAGAGTTCTTGCTAGTGGTTCATAGGAGAAATAAGTCCAAAATTTAGCAGCATGAATTGAAAGTAACACAGAGATATCATTTAAGAATGCCAGGCCTTATGAGCAGACGTCTACCTGAACTTTCCTGCCAAGGAGAACCACAGCCTCAAAGTGAGACAAACTGTAATGGGTCTGGTGTTTATAACTTGTTCCTTACATCCTGAAGAGAGGTTCACTAAGCATTTCCCAGGGGGCAAGTCCAAAACTTGGACTGCCTTTCTGGACAGCAGAGCTTGGACTGCCCTGGGGTAACCCATTTCTCTTCTGACAGGAACAAAATGCTTTTGTGCAGAGAACAAGTGAGGATGCTTAGGTAGTGCAGAGACCCCATCTTTACATCTCTGCGCTCCTTTTCCAATGCCTCTTAAGAGCTGTTCCATGGAAACATGGAGGAGATGTGGGTTTAGGTGCCTATCCTGTGTAAAAAAGTAGCAGCAGTTCCCAGTAGAAACTTCACCTTGATGTTTTCCTCAACACGCTGAGGTTTCTCAGACTTGGGGATGACAATCACTTCTCTTTGGATAAGAAACCGGATCAGGACCTAGGAAAGGACAAGGAGGAGCATGAACATAGAGGACCAAGAAATCTGTTAAAATGAATTTTGTGTTCTCTCTTACCACTATTTTTTCGTTCACAAACCAATTTCCTTTTCTACAACTATGTTCACTCTTTGGAAGACTCTACCAGTTTGTACACAGGAGTTTGATGTGCCAGGATTTGCTTGCAGTCTACTGACAAGCTAATTGTTTCTGGCCTATGTTGTTTCTTCATCCTGGCTTCTCCAGGCTTTTTTTTTAATTTTCATTTAGGATAGAAGGGGAAGGGAGGAGGAATGATGATGCTTCTGGCTTGCATTATATGAGTGCTCAGACCCCAGTGATACTGCAGATTATTTTGGTCTCACAGGTATTTCACCTGGGTTAAGATTTTTTGAAGTCCTTAAAAGGAAAAATAAACTTACAGACTTTAAACATTGTGTGTGTGTGTGTCCCTTCAAAATGTGTCCCCCTGTTGAATAGTTTTTTTGTTCTGCTCTGCCTGTCTTAAAATGGGACTGTGGTTGGCTGCTTGTGAACCTGTGGGTTTGTTTCAAGTGCAGTTTCTGCACACCCTGAGCAAGAATTCATCTCTGTGACTAGTAAGTAACAGTGAAAAAATCATCTTGTATAATCACGCAGCTTTCAATGGTTCTTTGTGAAGACAAGCAAAAGGGGAGCAATCAAATTAATCTGCAAATTACAGGATTCTCTGAAGAGTAACTTTGTGAACTTAACTGGAGAAAGGAGTGACAAAGTTAGCTTGAAGGTTTGTAGGCAATCTCAGGGGAAAGGGGTTCTCTGGGAGAGAGCACTTCTCTCTGGGAGCAGAAGAAATCTCCCCAGAAGGGGGAACACCTGAGGTAAGCATGCACCACTGCTGATCAGCGCCGCACCCCCCCCCCCCAAACTCACAGTCAAGACCTCTTAGAAAATACCTGATAATTTGTACGAATGCTGGTAAGAACTGGGTCAGTGTGAGGAGTTAAGTGCAGTTCAGCTCTGTTATACCGTATCTCTAGAGAAGGCAGCATCTGCTAAGACTGGCCATCAGTCGTGTAAAGATGTCAGAGGAGGAGGAATAGTTTGCCCTGACAGACCCACTGACCTGGGCAGGGGTTTTATGGTGTCTAACTGCAATCTCTTTAATCCTGGGATCCTCTAGCAGCACAGGTTCCCCTGGCTTGGCCCTATTAAAAACAAAAGCCAGGATATTCAGAGATGTTAGCTTCCCTGCAGGAAGCCTGACATTTTGTGTGAATCAATCTGCAGCAAAGCAACAATACCTTTCCAATTATACCTGCATTATTTGCATCATTTGCCTCAAAGATTCAAGTTGCAAATGCATGGATTTGTGTACAGAAAGGCTGCAGACGAATATTTTCTTACCACGGGCGGTTAGGAGAGCCAAGGGGACTGTATGCAGTCACAACAATCCCTTTGGATTGACAGTAGTTGATCAGCTTTTCCTGGGTTAGGTATGGATGACATTCAATCTGCAAGCACAGAAGCATGGTGGTTGATACAGAGGCAGACTGCACTGGGCTCCTGAGGATAACATTTTCATTCCTCTTGGGTCACAGAAATATGAAGGAAAGACTCCCAGTATCATGATTAAAATTACCTTCACTTCACAGCAGTTTCTAGAGGCCTAGCACAGAGAACAGGGCTTCCTCATGCTCCATATTATGCTAAGATAGTGAGAAATAGATGAGAAGAGTGAAAGTGCTATCTTGTCAGGAACCAAGGAAATCAGTCTTCCTTAACTACTGCAGAGCCAGACTGCATCTTCAGAGAAGCAGCTCAGGACACCTGAAGTTTAGTTTCTGCTCCAAGTCACCCAACCTCTCCTCAGGGAGTCTCCCTGATTCCTAAAGAAGCCTGGGAATCTGAGCTTCCCTAGGTTAGCTCAGATCACGTTGTGACCAGCCATTTGGGCAAGACATCCTTTAAATGGAAACAAGAGCCTATATGGGGATGCTGCTCAAGTTGCCACAAGCCATAGTATGACTTCAGGGCTATGTCTATACTGCATAACATGGCACCATGCACATACTTAGCTATTTGTAAATGCTATAGCTTTGCTACCAGGTATGGTGATGTGAAATCCATGTACAGTAGTTTATCTAGTCCTGAGCTAGATTAGGCTGCTACTGCAATGACAGCGTGTGGCACAGGCACACCCATGAAGAAGCAAAACGAAGTCAAAGCCTGAAGTTCTTTAAACTGTTGAAGTTGGTGCAGCTTTTAACATGGGGATAGTTGGGTCCCTACCCACCAGAACTTTATAACCCTCAATAAAATCTTTCCAAGTTGTGTGTTCCCCTTGTGCTAAGCCTGGCTGGCACACACGCTAGCCCCAAGCCCAGCATCACAGTACAGGCAGCGCTGTGCCTGCATAGGACCCAGTGTGGGGATTTTCCTGGATATTGCCAAGCCAGCAGAGATGGGCATTCAGCACCCTCAGCTGTGTGCAAAGAAGTCTTATATGAAAGAAGGTCCTGATGCCACTGCTGTCCTGTGATTTCTTTCATTCAGAGGTATGTGCTAAGAATTTGTTATGTAACTGCATACTTCAACCCTCCCTTCTGTGCCCAAGGTCAGTGAAATAGTTTATGCTGAAAAATAAATAAGTTCAGTGAATGAGTTAGAGCATTTCTGTACATGCCCATGCCTGTGCTCGCAGTGGGGATTATGCTGGTTATCCCAGGGTTGAAAAAAATGGGCCTGTGGCAACTTCGGCTGTGACATCTAAGTCCAAGTCATACTTGAGAGTGTGAAAGAGGACATACAGCAGAAAAACACAAGGTCTTATAGAAGGTAATGGTTATTTTCACTGTTTTCCACTATCTAAAAATGATACCTTCTCATGTGTCTGATATTACTGTGATATGCATAATCCATACTGGTTTGTATGATAGCGCTCTCAAATCACCACTGCATATATACACACAAGTCTACAAAAAAAAAATTGTTAACATCCCTGTCAACTAAACACCATTAAGACTGACACTGTACCAAAGCCTTGCGTATCACAGGCAGCACTGATTTAGTCTTTCAGACAACCAGAGGTACCCATAGCGCTTTGCCAGACCTTTTGATGGCACCAAAGCTATTCAAAGGTCATGGCAGAAATCAGTTTTAGAGCTGAAGTGTAGCATGAGTATTTCAAGGTTAGTGACATCAACAGAAACAAAAATCTTACCTGGTTATTTACTGGTTTGTATTTCAGTCCTGGCTTGTTCAAGATTCTTTCAATCTGCTCATGGTTAAAGTTGGAGATTCCAATGGCTTTTACCAGGCCACAGTCCACCAGCTCTTCCATGGCCTAATGAGTAAAGTCAACAAATATGTGTTTATGAGGTGGTAATACTGTCAATTACATTATCTTATTTCCCTAAAGCTAATGACAAACCAATGAACAACTCATACTAGATTGCAACTTGTATTATCTATATGCTTTACAGTGCAGATTGGAAAGTAATGTAAGAATGGCTTGGCCAAACCTTTTGTAGTAGGAAGAAAAATTCTTTTGCTTTGGCTTCTTTGGGGGTCATTTTACCAGAGCTTAAAAAGCAAGGGTGACCCTCCACTTCCTCCCTTACCTGCACACTACCTCTGATTTGGCAGAACATAGCAGGGAGGATGTTAAGCTTATACTCAATTACCTCAAAATACTTCCTTGCACCTGTAATCTGCTGCTGCAGAGAAAACTTAATTCCCAGAGCTGCAGCATCACAGAGGTGCAGGTAGTCGGAGCAGGCCCCAGTGCACAAAGAAAGGAGGAATGAAGGACAGCCAGAGGTGCTGACAGCCAACACTGAAAAGCATGAGAATTCCGTACCTGCATGAAACACCCACTAAATCAACAACCACACCCGGATTAATCCAGGCTTCGATTCTTCCACTGCATGTATTCAAATATTTTCATGACAGCACCTGCAGTGCTGATAGCTTCCTCCTCTTTAGTCTTAGTAAAGACATCCCCCTCTTCCTCCCCAAAACAAGAGATAGCAGCGGCTCTGCTCATTTTGATCGTGAAATGTAACTTTTTTGTGACTATCCTCCATACCCAAACCTATTCTTTAATTTCACTGTGCACACAGATCTCTGCTCCATCTTTAGTGGTGACACCTGCTCCCAAGAGCAAACATTAACTTACCTCCCATGTGTCCAGAAAATCTGTATCACTGGGGATACTCATACCCTTCTCATCCACAGGATTCAGTTCTTCACCAGCCTGTTATTTCAAGGCAGATAATGCACAGACTTTTTGTTAAGAGCTGAATTTCCTACTGTTTATAGCACTTCTGACTGGATTGATAGGCAGTAAGTTAGCAGGTTATTAAAACATATTACATAACTGAAAAAAAAACAAACACTCAGTTTTTGGACAAGGGCCATATTTCTACAAAACAAACCCTGCACACAAAACGTGGGAATTAGCAGTAATTATGTAACTTAGGCAAATAAGGCAAAAGATACCATCCCCTTCCTCTTTATTCTAGAGCTTTTATTTTTTACACAGGTGTAGACTCAGGGGGGAGAGGGGAGTGTGTGGAGGCAGTGAAAGTATTGTGCTGCCGCACTGTGATTCATCTCCCACTGTTGGTCACTCCAAACCAAGCCAGCATCTCCAAAAACTGAGATGTTCACACTGTTCTGGCCCAGCAGAAGGCCACGATCCCAAAATGCACAATTCTGTGTTGGTTACAGTTTCCCTGAAGACCCAGAGGGCTTGTTAGCAGTGTTCATACCTACGACTATCTCGCCCCGACAAGTGCATAAATCCAGACCCACATGCTAAAACATACCACCAGCTAGTTAGTGATTGAATTCTTGCTACCACAAGGGTAAGGGAAGAGCCAAATGAACCACAGCATATCCCAGCTGCATGATGAAGATGGTCACAACACAGATGAGAGAATGCACCATGCTTCTAGCCAGATAAGGAGAAGAGGGATGTAGGTACTACCTTGTATCCCATAGGGAAGTGTATCAGGTAGAGGTCAAGGTAGTCCAGTTGCAGTGCAGTGAGGCTCTTCTTGCACGCTACCTTAACCAAGGACCTCTCGTGGAACGTGTTCCATAACTGTGGGAAGAAGCCCAACCATGATTCTACAGCTTCCACAATCCAGGGGACAGAAGCTTCTCCCTAGGTGGTCTAGGAGGAAAACTCCTTCCCCACCTACTCAGTCCACACTGAAGACAAGGATGCCAATATCTTCATGGTAAGGCAGGACAAACATACCACAAATAAGGAGTCAGTCATGAAGGTGGGCAGTCAGTATTCCTACTTATGAAAAGAGATTCTCAGAATATAACACTCTGTAAGGTGTATCTGACCCAGCAGAGCTGTTAGTGTTAGATTTTGTTTTTTCAGCGTAAATTCTGAGTCTGAAGCAGCTCACAGCTACCCACGTTCTGTCCCTTTTTACTGCCCACAGTGAGAACTGTTGTCCATTTTACTTAATTTCTGAAATGAAAATCCAAGTAATTTAAATAGAAGAACTTCAAAGTATTATTCAAATTAAAACCTGCTCTTTAACAAAAATAAAGAGTATGTGCAAAACCCTAATTATACTCAAAGTTTTATCACGTTGCTAATGAAAACCCCAATTAATAATTTTTAGTTGAAGAGTTCCTATTTTCTGGTAAAGAGCATTGCTGAGGCAAGTGGAGAAGAGAAAGCAGTGGAGTTACACTTTAATATCTATTTCCTTTTAGGCTTACATTTTGTACATGACGCCATTTTCAAGGGTCTTGAACACCAGGAAGTAGTAGCACACCACCTCTGAATTCAGACATCTGATTTGTCCTTTTTTCCCTGATCTTTCTCAGGTGCAAGCAAATGAACCACCAGTGTAATTAAATGACTGAATAGACACAAGGAAATTATTACATTAGCAACTGCCATGTTATATTTCCTAAATTCTCAATGGCTCCTAATAAGGCTCTGTCAAAATTACAATTGAAGGATAGAATTTATAGCACACATGACACCCATGAAGTGAAGGTCAGAGAAGGGAAGAGGTCCTCATGTTACTTTACAAATGGAACGAGTCTGCACTCTGAGAAAAGCAAAATGTCCCAATAATCCTGCATCCTTGTACCTTGGTGACAATGAAGAGGTCTTCCCGTTTCACAGCCCCCTCCCTGATCTTCTGCTGGACTGCATTCCCTATTTCATTTTCATTCTGGTAGAAATAGGCACAGTCGAAGAGGCGGTAGCCTGCATCAATAGCACACTTTGCCACCTCTTCCACCTTTCCTGGAGGAGCCTGAAAGCAAACACAACCACACCATGAGCTCTTCCACGGTTTTCTGCCAGTGCTTACTGCTGCGATAGCTCTGCACAGTCCCCATTTCCACCTGCTGATGGACTTTCCTGAGTTTCAACTTTCCAAGCAAACAGCTTTTTCGTAGGAAAATGGCACAGAGCAGAAAGGAATTACTTCCTGCGACACATCTTGCCTCTGCCATTTCCAGCAGCATGTGCCCGCTATCATTTCCCCTTTTTCACTCTCAGTGTTGCCCAAGCAGTTTCGCCAATCCCTGCCCACGAAGGCAGTCCCGTGGTACAGGGGTCTTATCTGTCCGCACACCACCGGAGGGCTGCGAGCTGCCAGGCAGCCTCTCGTAACCTGCTTTTGCTTCTTTCCTGTCCATTTCCTCTTTTGCTTCCCCTCCTTTTTTTTATTATTTTATCGTCCCTCCACCTTCCTCACCCCGCACCGCCCTTCCCCTTTTGTTTTGCCCTTTTTCCCTTTGCTGTTTGCTCCCCGAGCCCCGCTCTCCCCCGGCCCCTCCTGGCAGCCCGCCCTGTGTTATACAAGCGGCCGCGATTGCGGGCGGGCGGTGAGACCGGACCTCCGCTCCCCGGGCAGAAAAGCGGGTTCCGCGGCAGCCTGCGCCGCACCGCGGGAGCCCCGGCTGTGGTCACGGCTCTTCTCTTTTCTCTCCTTTCCACGCTGGCAGGCCCCGCCGGAGCAGCGTCCTCCCGCCCGCCCCGGTACCTGCCAAGTGCCCAGCCCCAGGACTGGCATCTTCATCTTGTTGCTCAGCTCCACGCAAGGGCTCGCCATGGTGTCCGCGGGTGTCCGTCTGTCTGTGCGTGTTCAAGGCGGCCAGAAGGCGCTTAAAGGCGTGGGGCCGTCCGTCCCCGTTCTCACCCCCCTCCCTCACATCCCTCCCCGCCTCCGCCGCGTTTCATTACATGTGAGACACAACGTGCCCGTGATTGAGAGATTTTGGTTTGTTACGGAAACGTGATACTAAGGGGGTTTGTTTGGTTTTGCACTGAGTAAACTAAAAGCAAATGCCATCGTGATGATGAGTTTGGCACTTTGCATGTGTTCTTCTGCAGCAGAGAGAGCCTGAAGGATGACAGGAGACTTGCATGAGGTTCCCTGGGCCGTTTTCTCAGTTACACTTAAGTGGTGACAAATAGACTGACATTTTCACCTTTCACCCTAGAAAATACTACACTCACCTGCTGTTCGCAGAGCAAGTCAAAAAGAGGATGTAGTTTTAGCTTTACATCAAGTTTGCATTCCCCATCTTTGCATGCTCACAGTGTGCTCCCTGCAGGAAAGTTGCAGCACTCTGTGTGAACGCGTCAGTTCCTAATGCTCAGTTAAAATGTCAGCCAGCATCAGTAGGGTGTCAGAGGCTGCAAAGTGGATTTGTGATCACAGCTTGTCTACAGGTAGTGCTTTACTCTGAATAATCCCCCACCTTTTTATGTAGGATCAAATACATTGAGAGGGATGACATTTAAAGGCTGCGTGAAACTTTATATGAAGATAGTGCTCAGAAATCAAGAGCCATAAGCTTGGAAAGGCTGGGATAGTTAGCTGACAGCCGTCTTGAAGAAAAGGTGCTTTATGTTAGGAAGCTGGTGTAATTTCATGCCCTACCTTGGGAATCTCACATGTCACAGGCTTTGTGTTTATCAGAGTAGGGATTCTCCGCTTCTTGAGTCTTCTTTTTTAATTTTGCTTATATTGCTGTAACATGATTACATGGTGTGCAGGTGCCACTGGTGTCATCCTGTGAGTTCTACAGTGAGAGTGAGAGGCAAATGCTTTATGCTTGGACTGATAATGTTTGCCTATCAAAATACAGTGGCAACTGTGAGTTTTTGTGCCACTAGTGCATTCTAACCACAGTGTTTGATGTGCTATGTTAAATTTTTTTGTGTACCTGCATGATTCAAGGTGCTTTCACAAGACAGTATTTTCAGTTGATTGGCTGATTCATGTTCTGGCTTTAAATTTGAACAAAATTTCTTCCTGCTCAGCTTGATCTGGTTTCTGAGCCATTGGTTGAACGAGCTTCATTGTCATCTTTCTGCTCATCTTTTCACGCTAACATGACAACACCAGAATGCACACTAGAGCAGCTGGAGGAGGTCTCTGCTGTTGAAAGCAAATGTGAAAAAATAAACCAAGCAAACAACCCCCAAAAAGAAAAAAAAAAAAAGCTATTGTGAGAGATGTGAGAAATTTGACAGAAAAGAGAGAGCAAGATCTACAGCAAAAAGACAGAAACAAATCTGTAGAGATTTTGTAAAAAACAATAATGGTACATTGATTTTAAGGCCAGAAAGGACCACACTACTCTTCTGCACTGACTTCTTGTTACATTGACAAAGTTTTATACCCAGCCTATGACATATACTTATTGCTTTTTTCATTATCAAAGGTGCTTGGGTGCTGCAGCAATAGGAGTTGACTAAAATAATGTAAAGAACAGACTAGAAATTGTTGAGATTGAGTGTCAAATTACCTTTAAAAATATCAAACCTTGATCTGAAAGGTATAAAACCCAACCATAATTTTCCCTTTCTCCTTTTTTTAACCAGGTGCCTAAACAGTCCTCAACAGTTTTCCTCCGTCTAAACCTTTCTTCTAAGACAGTAATGATTTTGGAGTGAACTTCCTGGGGACCAGGGGGGAGCAGAGAGAGATTTTGACAGCTGAACCACAGCAGGGAAGATGTGCTGGAAGGACACAGTTACGTGTACAGGCTTTTCTGGTTAGGTGTTTCTTTTTTTACCTGATTTCATTATCTGCATGGAGAAAGATAACTATCATCATTTGTGGCTATATAAAACCTGACTTTATGACTTTATGGGAGTTTGAAAGGGTTTTTTTTCTTTTCTTTTTTTCTCTCTCTCTTTCTTTTATTTTTTTGGGGGACAATGTGGGTGATGAGTATGGCCCATCCACCTCAGTGTTTTAGCTGAGTCACGGTGATTTTACTCCCTGGAAATCCTGGCAGCTCCCAGGAACACCTTGCCATGCAGTTCTGTGAATCAGAATGTACAGATGGAGGAGGTGACTTGTCTGCAACTTTGTTAAGCATGGCCATGGTTTTGAAAGCATTGCTGTCACCTCTCTTGATGTTTATTAGTGTCTGATTCTGAGTTGTCTTTACTTTAGAGTGACTCTTCCAGAAGGTAATGGTGTTCCTTCATGGTTAGCCTTTGTTAAGATACTGAAACACAAAAAAGCAAGTCTCTTCTGTGACTAGTCCAGTGTTGCTGGGAATAGGTTTGTTCAGATGAAAGTACTTACTTAGAAAGCCCTTGCTGTTAGTGTTCCTTGGGGAAGCGATATGCATTACTTTCCTGAAGGAACAGTAAGGAGCCTGTCACAAACATGAGGAGCTGACCAGTGAGTAGCTACATGCAATAAGGGGAGGGGATCGGAAATGTGTTCAGGATGTGGATTTTGGTTGTGGCTTGTTGTTTTATTTTAAGAAAGATGTGGAGGGTCAGCTGTGTCAGAGAGGAAATGTAAAAGGTGGTGCAATGCTCTCCATTGCAGCATACTGAAATTACAAATAGCAGGAAGTCAAGTATTGTCACTCATATTTTAATAAAACCGTTTTTAACCTGTGAGTCTAAAAGCCTCCTGGGCGTCTTTGCAGAATTCAGTATGGGTGAAGACTGAGACATACCCACAGAATCACAGAAGGGTGAGGTTGGAAGGGGCATCTTGTCACTTTGTCCAACTCTCCTGCTCAAGCAGGGCCACCTAAATCAGGTTGGCCATAACGATGTCTAGCCAGCTTTTGTGTACCTGCAAGAAGGGAGACTCCACAACTTCTCTGGGCAACCTGTGCCAGTGCTCAGTCATCCTCACTGTTGAAAAGTATTTCCTGATGTTCATAGAGACCTTCCTCTGTTTCAATTTGTGCCCATTGCCTCTCCTTCTGTGACTGGCCACCACTGAAAAGAGCCTGGATGTGTCCTTTCTGCACCTTCCCCTCAGGTTTTTATATACATTGATAAGATAGCATCTGAACTTTCTCTTCTTTCAGCTAAAGGGCCTCAATTCTCTCAGCCTCAGTACCCCAGCTGGCAACTAAGTACCATGCAACTACTTGCTTACCCCCATCTCCAGTGGAATGGGCAGGAGAATACAAAAAAAATCAGGTGGGTTGAGATAAAAACAGTTTATAATTGAAATAAAGTAAAATATACTACTACTAACATTAATACAGCTGATACTAACTATAATGAAAAAGGAGATAACAAAAAGAGAGAGATGAATAAAACTGAAGACAAGTGGTGCACAATACAATTGCTCACCATCGAGTGACTGATACCCAGCTTGACCTGAGCAGCAATCTCTTCCCTTCTGGGTAACTTCCGCCACTTTATATACTGGGCATGGCATGCTGTGATATGTAATACCCCTTTGGCTAGTTTGGGTCAGGGGTCCTGTCTGCTCCCTCTCAGCTTCTTGTGCCTCTCCTCACTGGCTGAGCATTGGACTGAAAAGTCCTTGATCAGAGTAAGCATTAATTAGCAACAAATGAAGACTGGTGTGTTATCAGCGTTGTTGTCAGACTAAAGACAAAACACAGCATTGCACTTGCTACTAGGAAGAAAATTATCTCAGCTGAACCTAGGGCACACCTAATCCTTATTATCTTCTAAATTTTCTGTACCTGAAGAGCATAAATAATGAATTCTTCCTTAGCCTGAAAATTTATAAAGCCTGGTAACAATCATAGAATAGTTAGGGTTGGAAAGGACCTTAAGATCATCTAGTTCCAACCCCCCTGCCATGGGCAGAGACATCTCACACCAGACCATGTCACCCAAGGCGCTGTCCAACCCGGTCTTGAACACTGCCAGGGATGGAGCATTCACAACCTCCCTGGGCAACCCATTCCAGTGCCTCACCACCCTGACAGGAAAGAACTTCTTCCTTATATCCAATCTAAACTTCCCCTGTTTAAGTTTTAACCCATTACCCCTTGCCCTATCACTACAGTCCCTAATGAAGAGTCCCTCTCCAGCATCCCTATAGGCCCCCTTCAGATACTGGAAGGCTGCTATGAGGTCTCCACGCAGCCTTCTCTTCTCCAGGCTGAACAGCCCCAACTTTCTCAGCCTGTCTTCATACAGGAGGTGCTCAAGACCCCCACGTGGCCTCATGTCATCCTCGTGGCCCTCCTCTGGACTTGTTCCAACAGTTCCATGTCCTTTTTATGTTGAGGACACCAGAACTGCACACAATACTTCAAGTAGGGTCTCACAAGAGCAGAGTAGAGGGGCAGGATCACCTCCTTTGACCTGCTGGTCATACTTCTTTTGATGCATTCGGTAGGCTTTCGGGGCTGTGAGAGCACACTGAAGCTGGCTCAATTCAGTTCGTGTTCAGTTTCTCATTGACCAGGTTCAAGGTCTCCTCAGGGATGCTCTGAATCACTTCTCCACCCAACCTGTAGCTGTGCCTGGGATAACAACGCTTTATTGCTGACCTTTAGTAAATTGTGAAGAAAGTGCAAATGGTGGGAAACCAGTCATCCCCTGGTTTCCCAACTATGTAGGAGGTGTGGGGTATGAGACTAGATACGCAAGATGAGAGATGTAGTGAGAAAGGAGAGTGTTGGGGAAAGTAGGGTGACATACTCTTAAATTTAAATATGTTTTTCATCAGAGTCCCACTGAAAGCAACGAAACACTTAAAAAATAAGTAACCAAAAGTACAGTTGGTCTTAAAGCTCATCAGATTTTATCGTAGATCTTTTGCTGACATTGTTTTCTTATTGACATCAATAGAGATTTCAAAATCAATTGAAAGCAGCTGTCTCTTTTAAATACATATTGAAGTCATCAGGAGAAGTGGTATACAGTCTTTCCCTGGAATACACTTG